CAGCCACAGCAGTAACTTCCAGGCAACAATTGCAACTTCTCGCGCCTGGGCGGGGCGCGAACCGCCGACCCCTCGGATGAAAGGCCGACACGTTACCACTGTACTAGCCCGGAGGCTGCAGTTAGGTAGCTGGGGCGGATCTGACCTGACTGACTTTGAGTGAACAGTGAAATGGCTGAGAAAAGTTGCCATCCCCTTTTTATTGTTTCCGCTAATTGTTATAATATATGGATAACGCATAGCAACCATTTCATGTTCACTGGTGACACGTTTTATCGGCACTAGAACGGAGTTTGTAACGCGATCGTGTACAATTATATATTTTAATTTAACGCCAGGATTGTCCTCCATATTATAGTGATTAACTGGGGTTTAACTTCATAAAGAACTGCATTTTTGGGTACAATTCCCCGTCAATGAAGGCAACATGCACAGTTTAGACTCACTTACCTCGGCAGTTCCGGGAAGATTCGTTCGCGAAAGAGCTTGTGAATAATTTTCATGTCACCATTCATTAATGCACCATTCTATCGCATATCATTAATGTTAAATTGAATGTGGTAGTTGAAATAATTTTGTATTACATCTATAAATGATTAGTCGCACTGTTGTTAAAATGAACGTTAATCTCTGTGCTTGGCTACTGTATCAGGTCAACTCTCACTCTTACTTTCATTTGACATTCATCCCTCACTGTCACTCAATAATACACACACAGTCACTTACTCAACGATGCAGAACAAAAGACACTGAAACCTTCATTAATAGGGTTTGCTGCTGTTGTAGTTGCAGGCGTACATATCTCTTTGCCCTTGATTTTGTCAGTCGTGATGTGTGACTTGTACATGATTTCGTATTTTACATACTTTCTTTTCTGTTACGACAATTGTTCAAGTAAATCTTTGCGGATTGCCAATTGTTGTTTCCCTTACTTTATTCTCGTATCTATCAAGAGATAGGTTGGTAATTCAAGATGGTCCTTGCTGACGCTACCGCCGTCTCGCTCTCCTATTTTCTTCTTTGATCGTAAAACGAACAAAATGAAAAAAAAGAAAAAAACGAAAATAACGAAAATTCGACCATAAAAACTGCAAAGTATAAAACAAAAATTGGCTAGTGGCACTTAACACCTCCTCTTTTCTGTGTCTTTCTCTCTCTTACTATCTTGGCCCTTATGTGTATAATCTGGTTCACGATATCTGACACGGCACAGAAGGAGGCCCTGCTGCAGAAACGGTATCCTTCGGACGCTATTGAAAAACGTCATCGGTAGATCGCCAGAAGCCTGGATGTACGTCAGAGCAGGTATCAAGCCGCCCCAGGATGTGGAAGGGCGCCGCCTGCCAGGACGCCCGTAGATCCAACGAAGGCCCAGAACTCGCCAGTGCAGGTACCAGTAGGCTGTGGACAGGCGCCGCCGGCTTGGACGCCGCAGATCCAGTCAAACTCCAGGAGCTCGTCAGTGCAAGTATCAGCCGCCCTGCGATGCCGAAGAGGACGCTCCCTGCCGGACGTCCGTAGATCCTGATGAAGATTACGAGGACGTCTGTACGAGCGCACAGCCGAGAAGGACCTGGACGAGATCTGCGAGACGTGCATTGGGCAAGTAAGCCGCCGAGTTAGACCTGGACGAGGACTACGAGGAAGTCTGGGCGAATCCGAAGTCAAGGAGGATTTGTGCGAGACCTTCGAGGACGTGTGGATGTCGAGGACGGACAGATTTACCAGGGACCTGGACGGGGACGACGTCAAGGACGAGCAGCCACGAAGATGCACCAGGGATACCGCACGCGAGATCGAGGACGAACAAGACCAGCCGAGTTGAGTCACCCTTGAGGCAAGTTTAAGCCGCCTTAGGGAAGAGGCGTTAGTAGGTGGCCGAGCAATATACCGTGTATTAAGCACGTATAGGGCTGCCTGTGTATTAAGAACGTATAGGCCACATGGCAGACTACGCCACACGTGGCTGCCCCAGCGGATGGGCGGTCCCTCACCCTCCCACGCGAAGCTCGGATACTTAAGGCCCGTGTTGGACCCCAGTCAAACAGAGTCAGTGAGAGTCAGTCGCCAGTGCCTGTAGGGGTCACGTCTGATCCCTGGGCGCGGTCATTCTGCCCGGAGGGCTGTGGCCGCGCCGTGACCTTAGGAGACCCGCATTAACCCAAGATTGTCACATGCGTGTTCATACCTCTGTGTGCTTAACTCTTAGGAAATAAAGAGTCTCAAGCTACCAAGCTTTCACTACTCTGTTCATCACTGTATAAGAGGTTCAATATATACCCTTTACAGTATGTGTGTGTGTGTTTGTGTGAGTGTGTGTGTGTGTATTGTGGGCTTTTCTACCATAGTATCTACACCTCCATCAACATTATTTCTTCCTTTGTCCGTTTCATCTCTTCTCATGGGATCTCCTTGCCTGATGTCTCTCTCCTTCGTGGTGCTTTTATCCCGGCCCTCGAATCTCTCCTCCATCCTAACCCTTCCATTCCCAGGCGTTACC